CCTAAGGGTGAAATCACACGTGCAGGAAAAAGACTGCGGAATAAAGAATGCGTCATTGAAGCAACCAATCAACGCTATTCAGCGCTATTCGGAATAGCGCTGATTGGTTGCTTCAATGACGCATTCTCTATTCCGCAGTCTTTTTTCGCACCGTGTGATTTCACCCTAAGAGCACGGTAAACGTAGTCAACGAGCACTCAGTCAGCTCTTGTATCTGTTTGGTCTATATTTTTAGTTCTAACGGAATATACCAATCAAATACAAGAGCTCACTGAGCGGTCGGTTTAATCCAACCTGGGTTGGATTAATCTTTCCTATTGGTTGACGTTACACGCTCTACCAATAGGAGAGCACAAAAGGTCATTAATCCAACCCAGGTTGGTGCAAACCCGGCCGGGTCGAAAACGCTATTAACTTTTCTCTACTCAAGTACGGAAAGTGTAAAATATTGTGCAGTTGTGAAGGCATGTGCAAAAGAGATCGTATGTGATCGCATAACCTCAAATTTGCAAGAATTCGACTCATGTGGTCTCTACCGTCTCTATAATGGATCTTGTGAAGTCGATCTTGGAAGAGAATGAAGGGAAGGAGGATTTAAGTAAATCAACGAAAGTTCACAAAAATGTGGAGCTCGACGTCGATCTGGGAACTCTGCTCGCGTCCGACTATAACGCTTTGGACGCAAAGGCTCTCAAGTAATTTCCGTTTTGTACACATGTTGTTAGCTCTGTAAAAAAAATATTTTGGATTTGTTTCATTTCTGAAAAATATTTATAACATTTATTACATCTGTAGGTCGAAACCAAATTCATATTTGAAAGACCTAACAAGAGACAACGTACAGTTGCTGATCAATGGAATCTGGGAATTGCCAGTGGAACGAGTAGACGAAGCTATAGTGGCTAAGTTGCCCAAGCCTGGTTATACATTGCCACGTTCACGTGTCATTCCAAAGCCCAAGCCTTTGACAAAGTGGCAGCAATTTGCTAAAGAGAAGGGAATTCGAACCAAAAAGAAAGGTAGATCCAAACTGAAGTGGGATGAGGAATTGAAGGTTTGTTTTTACTTTCGAAATTATTTTGTCACATTTATATTTCAAGTTATTAAAAGTTATTGAATATATTAAAAGTATTTAAATTACTATTAATAGTTTAATAAAAAGGCTTGTAATCAATCATTAAGTTTGATGTCCTAAATCTTTTTCTTTTTCAGAAATGGATTCCAACATACGGTTATAAACGAGTAAATGCTCAGGAACAGAAGGAATGGTTAATGGAGGTCAAAGGTGATACCAGCTTGACCGACGATCTGTTTGCTAAAGAAAAAACAGCTAAACAGGAAAGGCAATCCAAAAACGAATTGCAAAGACTTCGCAATATAGCCAAATCAAGAAATATCAAATTACCGAGAGTTGGTTTGCCTACCAGAGAACACTTTCCGAATTCCCAACAGCTTTCTGAAGCTCTAACTGTAGCGCGTACGTCAACTGCATCTATTGGAAAATTCCAGTTTAGGTATGCTCTTTGAATATTGCAATTTTAATGTCACAACATTTTTTTCTTTGAACAAAATAGTACAATGTAAAATTTTTACAGATTACCGAAAGAGAAAGATGCAAAAGGAATTGCCAAGGAGATAACAAGAATGAAAAAGAAAAGGAAAGCACCTCCGTTAAGTTTTATTGAAGAGAAACTTCGGAACAAAAACCTGCTGGATAGCATTTTGAAGAGTAACACGAAAATTATACGCGATGATTACTCGAGAGGAATTACAGAGTAAGTTTTTACTTGTGCAAATTTAATCTAGATTTATTGAGTATAATAATGCAATATTTATTTGTGTATATCTGCAGGATAAAGCAGTCCACAACAAGTGGTAATAAAAAGAGGAAAGGTGCATTAAAAGCGAGTAAAACTGCTAAAAAGCCGAAGGCAGGAAAAGGCAAACGGGATTTGCACCAGAAGGTTGGCGGTAGAAAGCGAAGATAAATTGAGATGTAACAATGTCTGTAACAATATCTGTAACAATATCTGTAATAATAAATCGAATTTTATGTCTATAAGTTTTAGATGCATTGAATTTTCAAGGTAAATTTTTAATAAAAGATAAATCAAAGATAACGTTGAGAAAAAATCAAGTTTGTATAAATTTAATACTGTATATAAGATGAATTATATAATACTAAAAAATTATAGAATACTTCAGGCCCTTTGATTACGACATCTTTTCAACTTTCATTATCTAAAAAGATCCGTTTTCGAATTCTTTAGACACTTTAGAATTTTCTTAGCATTCTAAAAAGCTCATTTACTTTATAAAGGCAATAACTCTATCTAAATCTATTTCTTAAATTTGCTGAAAAATTGTGCGTCTTTGTATTATATTTGGATATTCTTAGGACATCCATATAATATTCATAACATTTCAAATTTACGCGCGCAGCAGTTCAGACTAGCTCCTCTTTTTCCGTGAGGGAGGTGGCTGTCAGTGGCTATCGCCGTTATGTAAATGTGTACGTAGTGTAGTAGTGTGTTAGCCGTATCAGGTGCGTGTGTTACATGTGTACGTTTTTATGTACGATATTGTCAGTGGTATGTACGGAATTTTGTTGTTCATTCAAGACTGACGACATTTAAACGGTACGATCGAGGCAGGAACGATGCTCTGGATGCTTAATCAGCATTAAATCGGTGCCGGAAGGTGCCGCGAAGGCAAAGGAGCAACAATCGAAAAGATCGCCCTGGGGCTGTCAGCGAAAACAAAGTTGCAGGTTACGTGCTGCTCGTACCATGGCACAGTCGACAACAAGCGGAACCTCCTCGCGGCGATACATGCGGGAGCACGAGGTGCCATCCTCGTCGCGTTATGTCGACAGCGAGTGGGAATCTAAAGAGGTAGCTCCTTTCTGCAGATTTAAATTGTGCCGTATTAATTATACCTGAAATTAGTCGCGTCCTATTCTATGTTTATAACATATTATGTGTTTTGTATATAATATATTTATTTTTGTTTATGTCATGATTATGTCATAAACATACAACGTTATATATTTCATCTATATCATATTCGTTTGTGTATTTTGCTAAAAGTACCAGTGAATATATCATAACACGACTTTAATTACTTTGCAAATAGAACTTTAAATAGTGTTTTCTCGATGAGTAAAATAATGAATTACCTGGAGCTTCTTATAGAAACACTTGGTCTATAGTATAAATTTATAAATGTTATTATTGCTATTTATTTATTATTTATTTTGTTCTGCAGGCTAACTAGAAAATTATTTAATACTCCAAGTTTACAATATTCAGACTTTTTAATATTTAATCTTAATTTTGCATTATATACATGTATGATCTTGAATTAAAGTTTTTAATAGTTTATATTAATTATAAGTGAAGAGTTTCCTGAGAGATTTAATTGACCATAATATTGTTTGTTTGGCAACAACTTGATCAGTTAATTGCTGCATGTGTTTTCTTATCAAACAGGCCTTACGACAGCGAGAACTTGAAGAAGCAAGAGCTCGAGCGGCACAAATGGAAAAGACGATGCGATGGTGGTCTGACTGTACTGCTAACTGGCGTGAGAAATGGAGCAAAGTAAGAAACGAAAGAAACGCAGCTAGAGATGAAGCAAAGGCTCTGAGAGCGAAATTGGAGATTGCCGTTAAAGATGCTAATACTTTCAAGCATGAATCTCAAGATCTGGAACTGCAGAATGAACAGCTGAAAAAAGAGATGGAAAAGATACACATGATACTCTTAAAACATGCTGGGCAATTTGATCAACAGATTTTTACCATTCTGGAATCAGATCCGCAATTAAGAGCTACTTTTGGATTGGACGAACAGTTGGAGTTTTACAACAACGTCAATGCCAGTGATGCGTTAGGTGCACAAAGGGATATGCTATCCTGTAAAAATTCACACGAAGTAACAAATGTTGCTTCGGGAGGTCACAATACTCTGCCAGAAAGGGATATCGAGGAGTATGTTTTGCAAGGTGCTGTGCCAAAACATGCAGTAGAATTGTACAAGGAGAGTCCCAGTAATTCACTAGATAAAAGCATCACAAAACTAGTCGCGGATAATAATGGCAAAAAGGATGGATTAGACAAACAACCTTTAGATATGTATAATGAAGAGTCTTTAACTCAGAAAATGTCAGAGTTGCAAATAAAATTGCAGGAGGCAACGAAAACCATTTCTGTGGAAAGAGAGTAAGTCTTGCACGAAATCTCAATGTACAAAATTAATTGATTATGTCGTATATAAATTTATTTTACTTCTGTTCTATAAGGGAAAACAATTCTCTACATCGAACTGTGGAAAAATTAAAAGCTGAAGTTAGGCAATTAAGAGAGCAATGTGAGGAATTATCTGAGAGTAAAGCCGAAGCAATGAGAGAATTATTAGAGTTAAAAGAACGTTTTCAACTTGAACTCAGTGACGAACATATAGCGGATTTAATAGATAATACAAGTAATGGAGAGAGCATGGACCGTCGTTTGACAGAATTAAGGACAGAAGTAAGTCACTATATAAGTATTTGCAATCACGTTTTCTTTAAAGAAATCATTAAGTATTAACTAATAACGTATTTAAGAATTTCTGATAAAGTTGTTAAATTCTATTTTGTACGTCTATATGCATTTTTGTACTATACAGGGTGTTTCCAAATTAAATGGCAAAACTTCGGGAGCGTGTAGAGGAGTAAAAAACTAAGAAAAAAAGTCCTATAGACATATGCTCCTTTTTGCTTTGTTTCGCAGGAAATCTATTCCCTGCCTGCAAATCTCTTCGTAACGCTGCTTGAAATCGGTTGTTTTCTTGTCGAATTGAAAATGATCCAGTCTCTCGCAATCTATTAAATGTCAACATAAACACTCTTCGGTTTGGCACTCTTCTGTTTGGAAATCGTCGTGCATATTCTCGCACCGCCTTTAAAGCATTACCGTTGCAGAAACCGTATACAAAAACCATATCAGCATATTCACTATTAGAATACGTACGCGGCATATTGCAAAAGACAAAATTCATCTACTGTTAAAGGCTTTCAAAGAGCGACTGACAAATTCATAACAGAAAGTGGAAAATGTAATCAAATATGTCGGTGCTAGATATGGCAAGAAATGTAAACATTTTTTTTCGATTTCTCTGAAACGGAGCAAAAACGAGCATATGTCTATAGGACTTTTTTTCTTAGTTTTTTACTCCTCTACACGCTCCCGAAGTTTTGCGATTTAATTTGGAAACACCCTGTATATACTATATCATAGATAGATATTCTTACATCTTTATATTTCAAAATTTTAGCTAGAGAAACTTCAAGTTGAAAATGCAGCAGAGTGGAGTAAAAGGGAGAAACTAGAAACTGAGAAGAGTTCCTTAGAACGAGAGAACAAGCTGCTCCGCTTAAAATTATACGAACTGCAAGAGAGAGCAGAATCGCGGCGACCACGACCGGTATCTACAGCCGATACAGACACGAGACAATTGCAGCACGAGATTCTGGTTCGCAACATGGTCCGTTCAATAATCTTATGAATTAGTAATCTTTCTTAAAATGGTTGTTATTACCTTGTCTCTCTCATGCAGGTGTTACTTGAAGTGAAGCAGTATCAGGCGTCACTGAAACAATCCTTGGCGGAAAAAACAACGGAGTTGTCACACGCGATGAGACGGTCCGAACAATATGAGGCGGAGGTGAAGCGAGTGAGAGCGAGAGTCGAAGAATTGAAGAAAGAATTGGCTGCCGCTCAGGATGAAGTTGACGCTGCTACGAACAATGTGCGAAAACTGCAACGGACCAACGAGGATCTCGTAGAACAATTGGAATCTGCAAACGTACAACTGGAACATTTTAGAAATAGGTAAACAGAATAATCACAATCAGTATCTGTAACTCGTATTCACAATCTTCTACATTAAAATTAAAAAAATATACATTTTACCTTAAGATATGTTAATATGTGTAACTAAAAAATATATTGCTTTACAGCAATAACGAGACATGCGAAATTTCAGTAGACACTGAAGTAGACGGGGCTGAGGAACAAAAGTTCCAAGCTAACAATTCCAGTGAATACAATGAAGGTACGTTACTAATATAGTCGTCACTTTTGAATCGATGAAACAATAATTGGACGCAGTTACAGTCTACGATCGGCAACAAGCCTAGTATTCGCTCGTGTCGATAGCGATGGAATGTTGTAAGTCAGATAGCGAAAATGCAAATTGGATAGGTGATTTCATAGTGGGCCTAAAGTACAGGACTTGACAACAGTTTTTTTTTCTTTTCTTTTTTAATCTTTGACTTTGTGCTAGGCGAATTGTACGTGTCGAATGACTATCGTGAGATACGCGCCTACTGTGTTTAATAATGAAAATGTCAATACTTCTTGAAGCATATATGTAAATATATGTGTTGTGTTTATATTTTATTTAATTTTATATTATATATATATATATAATCGACAACAGACAATTTTAATTATTGATCGATGTGAAAGATAAGTCATCTGCAGTATTTACTGTTTAATAATTATTTACTCAATCGTGAGAGGAAGATCGATTTTTTTCCTATAAATCATTATTTCCTGTAAATAATCATTTTATTATCACTATATTCGTTTTTCTACTTTTGTAAATGCTGAACATGTCTTTCTTCTTTTCATTTGTCATCAGCAATGTGCATTTTGTACACTGTTTACATTCCGCATTATTTTATTTTGTACGTTCCTTTTTAAACAATTGGTGTAAAGATATTGTATATATATACATATTTACGAAATATATATATAACGAAAAAATATATATGTAATGAAACACATGTTTCGTCATGTATTTTTCGTCTTGAAAAAGATTGGCGAAATCGAGTAGCGAGTATGTACAAGATACGATACCTGACATTTATAACTGAACATTGTACGTCAATACCGAAAATATTTAGCATAAGTCGAAGCAATACTCTACATATGTATCTGCGAGTTCACCGTGTCGCAAATATAGTTGTAGATAACTTTCATACGATACAACCTACGTAAAATTGAGAAGATTGTTAATTATATTTCATAACTGATGGGAAGATAAGAAAAGATTTTTCTTCTGGTTAAAATGTATTTTATTGAAAACTTAATAAATAGCAGCGATTTGATGTAACAATACGTCCACCATACTATACAGTCAATAATTTGGAAGTATCTCAATAAAAAAATTACAACATTGAAGTACATATTTGTGGCGTAACTTTCAATCCCGAAAGATTAGTCTTCATTTGCTAATCCACAGGAACGAAAGCTTTCTGTCCGCATTTATTTTACTTTTATATTTATTGTATCTACTTTGTTAAAGCTACTGAAGAGGGAATGTGCCTTACTCGAATTTATGATGGAATGGGCTACAATGCTGATGCGCGCGAAAGCAATTAGTCAAATACGATCTAATCTATCTAAGCGAGTCATAAATTCCACTGTACTATACAATGTAGAGAAAAATGATTTAATCAGGATGCTTTACAGAAATAATTGTTACTACATCCTATATACATATATATTTTGATAATTCAACATTTTATAGGCGTGCCATCGGGATACGTCGGCACTTTTGGCTTGCAAATCTTCGTTCTGCCGTTGGAACCGTACACGACATTACAGGAAAACGTGAAGTATCCGCAGGTGGAACTCTTAGTATAATATCGATGTTCATACTTTCTCGGTTCGTTGCTGCCGTTCATTTTGCCGGCGAAACTGTTGGTCACGGTATAGTAACTCGGCTTCGCCGCTACTGCCGGGGTAGATTTCGTACGCTTGTCGAAAGATATATTTTGATTAACGGAAGGCTCTTGGTTTTTCGACATATGTCGGCCAATGTAACGATTGTGATTGGTTTGAAGCGATCTAGTCTCTGTGACGAGCGATGATCTAGTATTATTCAAGTCCTTAGGTACTAAAGATACAGTCTGCGATTGAGATTTACCGTCACCCTGAGCAACAGTCTCGGTGCCAGAGGCCGACATTACTCGGCCGCGGAATCCAGGTGGGATGGTGTATCCTGATACAGATTGTCCCGGTTGCAGAGTATCATCCGTTCGCGGTACGTTTGAATCTTGTCTAACGCGGATGTTATATTGATTCCCTTTAGCGACCTGTATTGTCTGCGACTGACTGCGACTTTGCTGTTGAATGGTCTTGTCAAGTTTTTGATGACTCGTGCTCGAGCCCGGGAAAATTTCCGAAAACTTCTCTTTGATTGTCAACTTCGAACCCGTAGGATAATCGTCCTCGTCCGTGTAGTCATCGTCGTATTCGTCGTACGCTGTGTCATCCGTTCGCGGTTTTTCGGTAGAGAGCACCTTCTTGTCAGCGTCGTCCGGATTGTTTTTCGAAGCCAGGATGACAGTCTGTCTCGAAGTCGAGCTGCTTTGCAAGCCTTGCTCGCGATTCTGCTTGTTTTCATCTTGCCTATTATTGTAATTCGAATTTGTCGACGGACTTGACTGTGCACTGTCAATATTCGTTGGTCGCTTCAAAGAAGGAGCCGGTTTGAAGGGCTTGAAAAGTTCGGAATCGGTGAAGTTGAAGGGCTTCCGCGAGGATGCAGCACCAGATCCAGAACCAGCTTGCGCTGCGCCGGTGTACGTGATCCCGTATTGAAAAGAACCTTGTAGCTGCGATTGGGACTGACCTCGATGAGTGCCACTTTGAGCCGATGCTGTTCCGCTACCGCGAAATGGCGTCTCGTGCTTTTCCACGTTCTCATCTTCGCTCTTCAAATACGGCTGGAACCCGATCTGCGCCTGGCTAGAAGTACTTCCCTCGCCGTCGGCCTGAGCATCCGCCATTCCGCCCTTGGAACTTGCTTGCACTTGCGAATTGGTACCATGGTTCCATCCACTACTCTGAGCACCTGTCGAGGTAGCTCCGGAGTCAGAATCTAATTGAACCTGCGTTTGACTTTTTCCATAACCGGCGACGCCTTGCGCATTGCTAGTAGCTCCTTCTTTACCGCCATTGATCTCGGCCTGAGCGCTCTTGTTGGCGTCGCTAGTACCAGCTTTTGAACCGCTATAGGTACCTGTCACTTGCGACTGAGCTGTACCCGATCCGTATTTACCCTGAGCCGAAGCGCTCGCTTGAGTACCCGAATCCACCTGCTGCACGGAACTCGATGCCTGTGATTCGGTACCGTCGTCTGCCACACCTGCTGGACCTGCTGGTCTAGTTAAGCCCCCAGTTTCTTCCGTATCTGCAGATCCAACCGTTCCCGGATAAAATTCTCTTGGATACTGTCTACTGTCTACTCCTTGACTGATTCCGCCTGGAAAATGACCAAGATACCGTCCAGTCTCTCCAATTATTTGACCTCTTGGTATGTCTGTTGGATACTGAACTCCTTCTGTTCCTGGAATTCCAATATCCGTGCCTGGGTATTGTCCGCTTGGGTAAGTTGGCACTTGACCACCTGGATGGATTACTTGGCCAGGGTATAAAGTACCACCAGCAGAAGGAATTTGTTGTGCACCGCCAGGATATGTACCTGGAATAGTTCCAGGATATGTAACACCTGGATATACAACTTGAGTACCTTCAGGAATCCTTCCAGGTTGAATAGTATCACCAGAATAAACCGTTTGACCATTCGTTGGTCGACCATCTGGATAAGTTATTACTTGTGTACCAGTACCAGATGCTGTAGTCGTAATCGTACTAGGAACTTGACCTCCGCTTGGTAAAGTGCCTGATGGAACACCTTCAGGACGGTATACAACAGTCTGCTGTCCAGGATAAACTCCCTGAGTTATTGTTCCTGGCACAACACTACCAGGATATGTCCCGACACTTGTTCTTGGGATAGCGTCAAGTCGAACACCACCAGGATAGACTCCAGTGCCAGGAATTCCAGTACCAGGAACTCCAGTGCCAGGAATTCCAGTACCAGGAACTCCAGTACCAGGAATTCTAGTACTAGGAACTCCTATGCCAGGAACTCCTGTGCCAGGAATTACTCCTGTGCCAGGAATTACTCCTGTGCCAGGAACTCCTGTGCCAGGAACTCCCGTGCCAGGAACTCCCGGATATGTTCCACTTGGTAATCCTGTTCCAGGTGGAGTACTAATTGGATAAGTTCCAACACCAGTAACAGCAGTGGCACCTGTTGTTACTGAAGTGGTTACAATACCACCAGGAGGATACATACTTTGTCCTGGTTGAACTCCAGGTTGAATACCTCCTGGATATGTTCCACCTCCTACCGTCACACCAGGTAAAACTCCTCCACGCTGGACACCTCCATAATATGGTCCATGATCTCCTGTGATTAAAGTTCCAGGTGGATATGTTCTATCACTTCCGGGTATCATAGTTCCAGGTGGTTGAACACCACCAGGATATGTCCTTTCAACTCCCGGTGTCACAGTCCCAGGAACACTTCCAGGATACATCCTATCAGCTCCTGGAGTCACGATACCAGGACGAACATCTCCAGGATACGGCCTCTCAACTCCTGATGTCACAATACCAGGACGAACACCTCCAGGATACGTCCCATCAGCTCCTGGTATGACAGTGCCAGGACGAACACCTCCGGGATACGTTTCTGGTCTGCCAGGACGAATACCAGGATAGGTGCTAATTCCCCCAGGAACTACTCCAGTTGGATATGTTATCTGCCCGCCAGGATAAGAAGGGATTCCAGGAACTCCTGGCTGTACAATACCAGGTGTACCAGCACCTGGAACTTGCACATATCCGTCAGTACGCGCAGGTGGAACTCGTACCTTACCCGGTGCCCCTTCGATGCCAGGATATCCAAGATATCCAGGATATCCGGGACAATCTTCGCAACCGGTGCCACCTGATGACATACTTTGCGCTTGACCCATTCCACGATTACCACCTGAAAAGAGAACATATTAAAATACTTACATAAATAATTTGAAAAAACATGATAATTATAAGTTTTATCTTTAATAAAATTCTATTTATATTAACCTTATTTATATAATTAAAATCTTACAATTTTAATCTCGTATCATATTTTTTAATAATATTACTTTTTAATTTTTAATTTACTTATTTGTTATTTTTAATCAGATCGTTTTAATATAAGTATTTCTTTTCTTGTAAAAAAGAAGCATTTAATTATTATACAGTGATGTAAGGATGCGTCCAGATTATCGAGCCGAGCTTGCGACTCACGGCTTGAGACGCACCCTAATATAATTAAATGGAATATCGAGTATTTAAATACTTACTAACTACTGCGCGTGAAGATTGCTGAGTGGCTTCAGCTTCGGCCTTGCCCTCTTTTTTTTCATCGTTACCAAAATTCAAATATTGAGACTGCGTCTGTCCACGAAACTTTCCTCGAAACTGATTCGTCTGCCGACGTTTTCGAATTCGATTCATATTTTTGTTCAACTTCTCTCGTTGCTCGAGTTGAATATCTCGTTTTGTCCGAGTTTTCAGTGGTATTAAAACCATATCAGCTACGCGTTTGGACGAAATATCGTTTTCGTCTATAGAGATTTCATTGAAAAAGGGATCGAAAGCTTGCTCAGGCACAGGTCTCACTGTTTGTAATAAAAGGATATTGCGTCCATTGCAGAAATCAACGATTCGAGCTCCAGCAAGTCGCCATGCCTGTTTAAAATATTAAATTTAGATGTTTAATGTTTTTCTTCTGATTCAACATATTGTATTATTGATGTATTTCTACATGTAATTATTTAAATAACTAATAGAAATCCTATTATTGTTTTATAATTCTTAAACGTATATGATAACCCCTACAGTACAAAGTTGCACATAAGTTGCAGCAACACTGCTGCAATATTGCAGCAACATTACATGTTGCAGCAGTATTGCAGAGATTTTGCAGCGATATTGCTATAAATTCTGTGCTGTATGGGAATATAATTACATGAATACAAGTCAAGGAAATTAGGCAGATGATATATATTTAATTTAATGCTGCATATATGTATACTGTTTATAATTTACTTTATAATAAATTCACAACTATGGAAATAGGAAACATAATTCTAATCTTTTTAGATATGCACATATAGACAAAATAATTTCAACATATTATAACAGTATATATATCGTATAACTTATATATATATATATATATCGTATAACTTATTATTACCTCTAGTTTCGTGAGAACTGCCGATGCATAGAGTATCTTGAATTGTCGCTTCTTACGTGACATAATACTATGACCCTGCCTTACATCTTCAAGATAACAATCGTTCTCCTCCCTGCTCTTGTATGCAACGAATTGCTGTTTTGAAAGGATCAATTTTAATTGGTATATTTTAATATTAATTCAACAAATAATCACTTACCGTTACGTCATCATTAAAAGACCATTGTTTCTCTTCATTACCGTTTTCTACGTTTCTCATCTCATACTCGTGTACGGATCGATCGAAACGCGTCTTTTCCTATGAATAATATTCAAATTATGATATATTAATAATAATAATATTATAATAATACATATTATTATATTAATTATTTATACAAATTATAAGAGATTATGTAAAGATGAATAGTATTATAAATAATTAATATTTAAATAAATAATTAATATGTATATTATATATACTATAATCTGACTTTATGACCTTAAAATATATATATCTGTATTTGATTATCTTTCTTTTTTTAATCAAATAAAAATTAATTAGACGAAAATTAGAAATTCTATTTCGTGTTCTTTAGGATCTTGTAATTCAAAAGAAATAAATCAAATTGAAGTGAGTCATTTTTGTTAGATTTTCTAATTTGAAATTGATGCTTGAAATTTAAATTCGCAACTCACTTCAGTTTGATTCTCCTCTCTCAATTTTTTTAACCGACCGTTTTAGTAAGAAAGATAAATTTACGTCAATTGCAGACAATTGTCAAGTGCAATTCATAATAAAATAATGAGATCGCAATGTAAACGATCAGTAGAAATTTTTAATTATATATTTTTAATTAATTCAGGGGCGGCAAGGGAGAGAATGAACAGCCGAGAACAAAACACGCTGCCGCAAAAAGGCGGGAACCGAGAAGATTATTGAAATCATTGTCTCATTATAATTATATTTCAGCATTAATTACAGATCTTAAGACTATTATAAGTCTATTGGAAGTTATTATACTGTATGGAAACGATACTAACGGACTCTCGAGCGCTGTCGAAAGGGGGTGAAAAAAGCGTTGCGATCGAGAACAGGCCAGACAATCTGTATCGTCCGTCCTTATCTCGGTGAGCTTTAACCTCCAAATCTTTCTTTCAATAATTGTCTTCTTCTAGTCGCGCGCGTCAGCGTGAATCTCGCAAATAGCCTATTACAGGGGAACATTATAAATTGGAACAGGATCGACAGGTTTGAGCAATAATAACGATCTCGACTCGATGTCCGGTTTGGAATCCAAAACAGCGGAAACGGGATGCGCGCTTCTGCCGGTCCGACCAGACGTAGCGTCGCAATCATGTATTTAACGCAGATTTTGCCACGAGTCTTTGATAGATTTTTAACGAACTTAAAAGTCCTTAAGAATTTTTAAAAGTAAATGATCAGGCTTTGATTAACTCAATCGGTGATTAACATTGAGTAACGCCATTCTGCGTCGAAAAATTAATACTAAAGTTAAATCGAACTATCTTAAAAAATGATAAATTACAATGAAAATAAAATATAATAATAAATCACATATTTAGTATTAAAATAAAATCATAACTGAAAAATATAATTATTATTAAAAAATTAAAACATTTCAGAATTCTATCTTTTATTTAAAAAAAAAAACATAACATTATAATCTGAAAAAAATAAAAATGGTCAATAATGGACGGTACTTCTAGTGTTAATGTGGATAAAATTATGAATTCATTATTTGATGCACAAAAAGAATAAAGATTCAGGGTAATAAAAATTATATAGTTTAAAATTTTGTCGCAATTGCAATTCTGCTGATTGAGTTAATCATCGACTGAACGCAGACAGCCAAATCTTTCGAGAATAGATTCTACAAAGTATTTTTTACAGATTCTATTGACAAGAGGACCATATTTTTTTTTAATTCAGAATCTAATATATATAATATTGGAAAATATGTAGCAAAATTTGTCAACGAAATATAATAGTAGAAATCAAACAGACTTTAACATACGATTTGGTACGGAGCTAGATGCAGATTGGAAACAGAAGTAGAACAGAATTTGAATGCAAATCTAGATTTAGAAAACGAACAAAATCTACTGTTAGTGTCTTTTCTTAAATCTTTTGTTAGTAACAAAAACTATTGTTACTCAAGTTATGTCGGCTGGCTCTATCGTAAAACATATATGTTGTGAACACACTTGATGTCAATATATTTGCTAGCAAATTTAATTGTTGCTACCCTGTTGTCATTGGACTGCTGACAGTTTGCTTACTGGAAAATTAATCAGAGTCTGTAATCGAAGTGACGGCGTAGGTATCAGTTTCGTGCAAAATCGTGTTACGCGTTTTCTTACGTAAACGCAGTTGTAATCATTTTAAAATTGCAGTTCGTACAACTCTGCTTATTTTTGGACGCATTACGGAGCGATGAATGAAGTAAAGTAGAGGGATACTTAGAAGATCGTATTTCCGCGTTTATCATCGTGGATAGATGATACACGTTGACGATTTGCTGAATTTCACAACGCTGCGCGAACCATGGCGATGCCAAGAAGTGCCCTAAATTGCAAGAAGGAGAGATAAGCAGCTATCTATTACTTCGAATTGATGATGAATAAGTAATTCATGCATACGCGGACATCTAAATATCATCTACAAATCAGCAACGATTTAGTCAGTTTTACAGTTTTGTATAGAAATTAGAGCGCTTTCCCCATAAGTATCTGTTAATCATCTTCAAAATCTTGCTTGTTAGAAGAACGACGCACTAACAAAATATGAATTAACAAATCGATGAATCAATTCATGAGAATAATTGAATATAGAATTTCTCTAAAATAAGGAATATTGTTATTGAGATGAACCATTTAAAAGAAAATAATTAAAGCTAGCTCACGTGGAACTTAATAATAATATTTTAATATTTTAAATATTGTTAATTAATTATAAAGTTAAAAATTTTTATAACCAAAACATGTAATCTCGAGAAATGTTATCAAATTTATTTGTAAGCATTTGAATTAATTATGTAATTTATACTTTTTCTAGCTTTATTTTTATGTGAATTTCTACAATATAAAATTTTATTTAATTGCGTACCAACTTCAGTGCGTTGATTCTTATTTGCCCTTAGTATTTTTAATTATTATTGTTCTCACACATTAAGGCTGATATTCATAGTCGGATCTTATATTTAAAACCGTTTTAAGTACAGTCTTAAGATGTCATGAACCAATCAGAGAGCCGTATTAGCATCTTAAGACATTACTTAAGACAGTTTAAAATAAGAACGGATGATAAATACCGCTCTAAGAGTCTTATTATTACTTATTAATAATTTTTATTGTTAATTAAATATAATTTTACCTAAAATTGATCGCTGTTAACGCATTATTATTTACAAAGATATACAAAGACACGTTAATTCACAAACTCATTCGGTCTCTTTCGGACGCACTGCGAACCTCTTATTATTGAACGCGTGATAAAAAACAGGTGGCGAAACGAGCTTGAGATTTCTTCGTGAGGGAAATGGAAAACTTACGTGGTACCTCGCGAGTGCCGTGCTCGCGAGGAAGATCAGGACGATGAGACACAGCCGCATAGTTCGAACCGTCTGCTGGACGATTTCCACGACTGATGCGAACCAACGTTTCGACGATGTTCTAACCCCCGTTGGATTAGATTCCCACCGATTCTACTCGCTTCTTCCGCTGCGTCTCTTCTTCGGTCCCATCGTAGTCAGTCCCACGAAGCGCCGCTTGGAATCATAGGAGTCTATGTGACCGCGAGGCGGGAGTAAGAATCGTTGGACAAAATTCCAAGAATATGCGTCGTGATGTAAGTGCGTACAAACGCTCGTATATATCACGTTATCTCATTTGGTCTCGTCTTGTCGCCGCAGATCTCATTACCGAAAGATATGCGCCTGTCATTGACTTAGTCTTACACTGTTAAATCTATAGTGTCAAATTTAATTTAACGTGAGTCGCCACTGCCCCTACTCAATCATATCGTTATTTTATACTAAAACAATAGTTATATTTGACATTATACAGTGTCAATTTGATATTATATAGTGTCAAATTTTTTTTACTAAAACGGTAGTATAATGTTAAATATAAATATTGTTTTAGTATAAAATAATGATATATTTAATAGGAGCAGTGGCGACTCACGTTAGGTTAAATTTGACACTATAGATTTAACAGTGTAGAAGATACTGCATGATGCAGTTAGAAAGAAATGAAAAATGATACTATATCACTTGTGTTGCTTGTTTAAACAAACAATCCAGAACATCTCAAACCTAAACCTTTAAAACCAAATTTTTTCACAGATTTGAAATTTTTTTTTAACAAACATTTTTTATAATTTTACACGGTAATTTTTATTTATTATGTTATATGCACATATATTATATATTTATTTATTTATATGGAGATATTCTATTCTAAATCGTATAAATATATATCAATTACAAGCAACATTGAGTTAACTTGACTTATCGGGTTAGTTACTTTCGCTTTCGTTGGCCTAATTATTGAGTCCAATCTATTTGTTAAACACAGTTAGTCGCTGTTTATTCTACTACCAAGCGTAGCTAATGATCGCATGGTTCATCGGCGCGATAATGAGTTCAATAAGTAAAAAGACCAAGCGAGAGAGTATTGAACGGAAAGCTTTATGTGACCGCGAGTGCTGCAATTCGATATGCATCCTATATATATTTTGTTTAGAATTATTTAGAATTAAATTATTTGATACCACTTTTAAACTTTATCATATTAATGAAGATGAGGAAAGGATTAAAGGAATTGAGAAGCTGAATAAGAGAAATGAAAAGTTAATTTAAACGCGTCTGAATGTATACACATTACACATATCACTTCGTGTATTATTCTTTCATTACGATAGACAAGACTTTTACAATTCGTAAAAAAGATATGGGTAAATGTTTCGCATAGGCACTCCGGTGTACAAATAGCACGTATAATACAACGGTTGTAATAAATCGCTACCTAAAAAACGACTATGTCAACGTCTCTCCTTCACTCGCGCGACTAAAATCTAAATCGTAAAAGTGGGAATGCTATTTACAACATGTGGTCAACGCGACTACGTGCTTAATCGTTAGATCAGGATCCCTATTCTCGCCTATGGGCGATCTATCGAATGACTAGGACGCACGTGTGTCTGAATCGCTCGTCAATTAATTACAATTATACAACTCGAGCGGATTCCTCGGCGAATGCGGCGATCGATCTCGTTGCGCGACACATTATTACACTTACATGAAATCTTTATCATAACCGTCGCCACTCGCATAATTTGCGTAATCTTGCCGTCTGTTGAATCCTGAAAAAAAGGGAATATTTAATACCGTCAATCGAGATAATATTCGTCGCGATGATAAATTAAAAGCAAGTGAAAAGTTTTCTTACGACGGCAGATTACGTTTACGATGGCGAAACGGATTCGACTAGTTCGACACTCTGATCGGACACCAATCTCTGGCACCGCAAACGAATGAAAGAAGAAGACCTTATTTATCGCCGTTATAATGAATTCGCTGCTGGAGAACGCTGCCAGCAGCCTACAGTAAACTACAGGCGCATTGCTCGACTGGATAACGTTTGTTAGACGTTACATACAAATGATATTCTAATTAGAATTAATACAGCAAAATTCATCACATAATAGGTGGGTACTAGTGAACGACCAATGGGTCTAAGCTTATTTCTATCATACGAAATATATAGTATTATACATATATATTTTTTATTTTTATATATTTTTGGCAGGGTGATCGCATTGCCTGTAGCCGACTTTTTGCGGCAATTCCGAATCACAGACACACGCCTTCGCTTTTGAGGATGTCCTGACGCAACGCTTGAATCCCGACGCGTAGTTGCGTTTTTGAAGATTCTTTCTCGAAGGCAACAACAAACCTCACGTCGAATGCTGCATCGCTCTCTACGTTATTTTATGATTGTAACAGTAAAAACTTTCCGCTCGATTACATAGGAGAAAAATATTTTCACATCCTCTCGTTGAAGTTCACTACATTTCGCGCACCTATCATTCGTACGTATTTACATCTTACAAAGTTTGATAGCTGCCTCGAAGAGCCTCAGAGAATCTCATTTAATTTTAAAATAATAACACGATGGCACTGCAATTCAGTCCTCGATGATCAATCTTGATCGCTTAACGTAGCGTGATAGCGATGCTACGCGGCCTTTAAATAGATAAGGTCACGAGTTTGGCGTTTAACAGACGCTCCCGAAAATTTCTTTCCACGCGTTCATCCGTAGTACACGCCAATTCTGTCGAAGCTATGTCGAGTTGCGCACGTGCTAAAACACGATTCGATACTTATGTAAGGCACGACGTCAGTGTAATTTGTGCTAAATTAAACACGCTTACAAATTTAACGTTATTACGACTAATCGCTAGATGGTCCCTAATTTGGAAGATACTTGGAATAATATTTGTCATACACAACACTGTCGATTCTTTGCTAATTCGCAATTTTTTGGCATTATCAGACGTAATCTTTGTTCGATAATATAAAATTGTAATAAATTAATGCGAAAAAGGAAAATTGACAGTCACATAATGTTTGATAATGCCTGCGAAAACTATCGAAATTGTTTAGAATGTCCATCAATTATCGAACTGAAACCAGCAATATTGGTAATAGTTTCATATATATATTGGTGAAAAAAATGTTAACGAAAACAGATTCTCTTTTTAAATTAAAAAGACACTTTAAGTTAAAGTAATTTATGATTAAGAGAAACATTTGTAATTTTGACTTGTTGTACAATTGCTCAATAATTCGAATCTTCAATTTCTCAATTAAATCTTTTGGTATTATAATCTCGAAAAAAAGAAGGGCTGATTATTGTTTTGATTGACGATTTTTTAACAAATAATTAAAGAAATTTCTAAACTTGCATTAATTTGATATAAAATACCGAGATGTTTTAAGAGAGTTAATTTTCTTTAATTTTTTACGGAATACCGAATTGTAGTTCTAGGATACACTGGAATCTTCTCATCTGATTAAAATTTTCAGTCGAGTTTTTTAAATCTCGAGAGAATTCCTTGCTGTAAAATTCATGCTAAAGTAAGTTTGAAGCCAAATCTGAATTCTTTTTATTGATTAGTTGACTTGATTTGATCGCTAAGTATTGGCCGATTTTTAAGCGATGGCCAAGTTCAAAGTCATCGTGGTGGGTCTCGAGAAAGACGAGGATCTCGTCGGGTCGGGATAATCGAATGTAGTCGAGGAACTCTTAACGTCATTTTCGAAACGGAGATGCAAGTGCTCCGGATTGGGCGATATCACCGACGTTCTGATGACCATTCTGGATACGTATTCCGGATCCTTGGTCACCAAATCGGGACTCTGCGTCTCTGGATCTTCCGAGGATGTCTTCTCTCTGCAAGGTCGTTTCGATGGTGCCGCTGCAGACGTATCTGACGTCCTTGTATGCCTGATGATCGCGGAGAATGCCGACGGTGAGTCTTTTTGATGACGCTCGAGTCCCAATCGAGGAACTATGACGCTGGTAGGCGATGCTGTGACGCACGAAGGCGTTTGCGTTCTGTTCAAGGACGACGATAATGGAACACTCGGTTTTACCGACGATGATGATGTCCTCTGCTGCTCGATCTGATCGGACTTATCTGGACGATCGGTGGACGATCGATGATGAGAACGCATACAGGACGATTCTTCGTGTTTGTAGAGGTATGATTTCAAGGCGAAAGCCTTGCCACAACGACCGCACACGTAGGGTTTGGTGTTTGAATGCGTTTGTATATGAGCTCGTAAATTTGACTTGTCGGCAAAGGCTTTGTTGCAAATGGTGCACTTGAAAGGTTTCTCGCCTGGAAGAAGTAAGTAAAGTAATTATTGAAAATATTATCGAATTGTTTTTTCTTATGTATGTATATAATTTAGTTTCATCAAAACTATGCTTTCTTTTATGTGCTAATGAAAGTTATATTGAAAGTAATTATTTAAAAAAATATATTTTTAAAAAAATTTAAAACGATACACTCGAAGAGCTTATTTTATATAAAAGAATACCTAACAGATTTAAATACTCTTTAAAAGCATAAATATAAATATAATAATATATAACATAAAAATAAAAAAAATTGTTTAAGAATAAAATTAAAAATAGAAAATAAAAATGAAATATGTATATTTCGCAATTTTAAATTTATTCTTTCTTGGCTCAAGATATCAATTAATTATTCTCAATGTACTTAGCGCATTTGAAGAACGTAAAATATATTGTTGCGTCCGAATATATTTCACAGTTGTATATGTGTAATTTGCACAATTGAAAATAGTACCGCATATTTAAGCGTGCCAAAATCACACAACATGAATGATTAATTCGAATTCATCTTCATTGAAAGCCCGTTAAACTCACCCTCTTCAAAAATAGTTCGCCTTAGTTTATTTACGTAGGTATCTATTATTGTAAGTGAACGCAATCGGTCATGGACAACAAACAACTTCGAGAGTCGAACGATATTATTAAATTAAACTAGTAACAAGAATTATTAATTCTTTTTTTTTCAGATGGTGTCGATTATACGTACATAATTGTGGTAAATTGTATAATTATCAAAGTTA